TTTTCTTGGTTTGTGGGAATGACTAAGCTATGTAGTCAAGAAAATATTTTTATTTTTTTAATAATGAGGAAGCATGCAGAATTGCTGGTCTTTGTTCTATTAAGAAACACAAATTCCAATGTACTTATTTTCTGCTTGTGTATCTCAGCATCAGATTTTCCTCTGAGAAAGCTAACCATGGAAAACCTCTGCCATTATTTCTCTTCAGCAGCTGCAGATCCTCTCAGCACATCTCTTGTGGTCCTCCTTTAAATTATGATTGATTTTTAAATAATAGAGATTGAGAAGGGAAGGGTCTTCAGTTTCTCCTTTTGCTCACCTCCTCAGAAAATTAGGTCCTTTTTCTAAACCTGCACAGTAGTCTGTCAACTTTTAAATGTCATATTGGAGATAAGGGAAGGGTTACAATTTGGCTATTTTAAATGACGGGAACAGGCCGTTGGAAGCCAAGCTTTCCAGTTCATTAGCAATGATGTACTCCTTGGCAGTCCTGAAGAACGTTCTTGAGGTGAATCCTGGGGCTCTGCTCGGGGGTGACTTCCAGGAACAGTTCAACATCTGCAACGTGATGCTAACACAGCTTTCTATCAAATGCTACTCCTTGCTTCTTCAGGAACTGGATTTCTGGGTGTCTGCCTCTCATTCCCTAGCCTGCAGCATTTTCATGGCCATCTTCCATGCAGTCTCTGTTTCTTGCCTTCACAGAGGAATGGAGTCACAGAACTTTATCAGCCTCAATTTTCCTCTTAGTTCTTCTTTCAGAGAGATTTTCACTTCTCTTTTGAATGCCAGTCAGCATCGTCTCCCCCTCTTGTTTTTTAGCCTCCAAAGTCCTGCCCTATGAGGAACGATCCCTTTTGCTGTGCAATAGTGGTAAGGGCTCTCTCTGGGCTGTTACCACTGGTAACTACTAACGCCCTAAGAGCTAAAATCCAGTAAAGGCACCTCCAAGTAAAATGTCTGGCTCTTAGGTTTTGTGTGTGTGGAGTTATCTGCTTCAGATGGAATTCAAAATAGCTGTAATAAAAATTTCATTAAAACAGCCAGTAGAAAATACTAGGCATTTCCCTGCCATTTTGGCACTGCAGCCAGAGCTGGCACCTTTGTCTTCTTGGTGTGTGAAGCACAAAACCTCTTCTTCAGGATAAAAACCTGTATTCCTCCAAAGAACTCAACTTTCATCATATTCTATCATAATTCAATGGCCAGGGAGTGGGAAATCCATGCCCTACGTGCCCTAAGTGCCAGGCAACAGCACAGGCTGGCACAAGCCTTTCAGCTCCTCCTGCAAGGGCTGCAACTCTGTGCAGCAGAGAGTGCAGGAGTCCTGGGGAGGCTGAGCACAGCGGGAGCGTGACAGCATTATCTGTTTGTGGGGACATTCACCTGACGAGAGGGAACTGGGAGTTCCAGTCCCTCCTCAAAGTGTCTCCTCTGTGTTATGTATCAGTAAGATGTAGTGCTGAATGCAAAATATACCCCCTTGAGGCCCTAGCTGGCTGTCCGGGGAGCTTTCCTGAGAAGTGAGTTTATCTGTACCCTCCCTCTCCGGCAGAGGACTAAATCTGGCCAGCTTGCTTCTTAGCAAGTGCATTAACCGTTTAAAATGTTCACAGGTCAAATTTTTCTTCTGGACTGGTTTGTTGTTTTGGGGTTTTTTTTCCCCTCAGAGGAAACTGCCCACAAAACAGTTTAGGGTATGCACAAGGCTGAATGAGAGTTATGCAGAGAATTTTAAAGTCTGGGGGTTTATGGTAGGCACAGCACCAGCTGGTGCAGTCTAGAATAGGGGGCATCTGAAGAGGTCACCATTTGGGATTTTGATACCCATACAAACAATTCTAGGAAGTCCAAAGTATAATTGTAAATCATGTCCTCTCTCCATTCATCATTTAAGCCAGTCTGGGGAAAAAAAAAAAAAGTTATTATTGAGTTGATTGTTATGATAATTTACAGAGTAATAGCAAGTACTGAAGTAATAGATAAGCCTATTGCATCTATCACTATGTCAACGCTTTTGTCAAATTAAGTCTTGCTGGAGACAGCAATGATCCAAAGTTGTTTTAACATGAATTATCCTGCTTTAACAGAGTTAGTGGGTTTAGTCTTCTTCAGTGATCAGCACTCCTTTTGCAAAAGAAGATTGTTTGAGGGCAAGAAGTAGATTAAAGAAGGACAGTTTACTCTTGCCTCTGCTTGAGTAACTGGAGAGAGGTGTATATAACGGAAGGCATTGTATTACAATGCATATTAATGTAGAAGTTACAATCATTAACCTCTGCTCAAAAATTGAAGGTTCAGATTCAAAGAGTTGTCAGTTTTAGCCTTTCCAGCAGTCCAACATTCACAAATAAAAGGTATAACCTCAAAAAGGATTAAAACAAGGGTTTGCTTTGTTTCTCAGGGTGGAAGAATGACTGCTGCCTTAGTTGCAACAGTTTCTGCCTGCAGGTTAGCACTTCACTTGAGCTTTGGATGCAATCCAAGTCAATATATCAATAATACTCTTCACTTTCCTTTAGCTGTACTTGTAACTAATGCCACTGTCAACTATGTCACTGCAATTCTTTGAAAAGAGTTTCTGGCTAACTTGTTCTTCCTTTGTAAGCTGGATGGCTTCCTGCATGTTTGTGTGGAGCCATAGCACAATATTTGCTATTGTTCTCTGGCTTTAATTTTATTTTTAATTTCTCAGTCTCATAAAACAGAGTTGTTTCCTCAGTTTACATTTTGTCCTGTTCTAATAGGTTTAGCATTTTAAGTTGTTGACACATTATATAGCCTCCATAAAGTAGAAAGCATGTTCCGGGTCTGACATAATCATGGTTTCCTTGCTGCATTTTTCCATTGAAGTAAATAGACATGTACTTTGTTTTGGACCTATAAATGACACCATGAACTCCAAGGGAACACAAGATGTAAAACCTGAGCTCAGATTGAGTAACATGACTGAAGAAGTTTTATTCAGTATGCTGTAGTTTGTTGCCAGCAGCAGAGAAATGAATACCTGCAGATATCTGTATTTACTCTGCGTTTTTTGAATGTGCGTCTGAGCAACCACCTGGGAACACTTCAGACTTGGCAGTGCAGGAACCAGTCTTAAAAAACAGAGTCCTTTGGTTCTTCCCTCATCCCCATCACTGCTACAGCTCCACATACTCCATACTCTTACTGGGGTGAGACTTTTGTAATCTGTATCAGGCCTCTAAAACTGCATCTGGACATCCCACGCAAAGCATTTGTCAGAACAAACAAGTCAATTATCTGCAAGGACACAAAGCACCCCATTTCACAGTGTCAAGCAGACACTGGAATGCAAAATCTAATCCTGACTGAAGCTGTTTCTTTAACGCGTTACTCCAATGACACCTGCCTCACTGTATTTCTTTTAATCTAGCTTGTTCCTCTTCATGCTACTTTGAAGGACATTAATACTGCTAATGGTCTTGTCCTTATCTGAGTTCATATTGATAAAAGTGTTGTGAGCTGTCTTAGCTTTGGTCGTGGTGGTTTAGCCTTTATAACACAGATTTGCCACTGTAATTAAATGGTGACAAAGAACCAGCTTGTTGATTTCAACATAAATGACTTCCCTGAAATCATACTTTAAACAGCACACATCATAATCTACTACTTTTTCTCCTGTTAACAGCAGACTTTCGTTTGAAAGTGTAGCACTCTGCATTTGCCCCATTCCCTTATCCTGGTAGATAACAGTGTCAAGCAGAAACCAAGAGCTATGAAATAAAACTGTGATAGCCAGAGAGTTTGATTGCACTATATTAATTTATTATTAGATAGAATTGCAAAACTGGTGTTGGGACAGTGTAAGTGTAGATTAAAGTCCATGAGGTTAGCAATTTCTTCTATCTTGTGTTCTGGAAATTTAGGAATGGTAAGAACGGCTGTAATGACCCAGAACAAAGGTGAGCTTGGTTAAAGAGTCTAGGAACTTCCCAAACTGATTTTTCTAGTTCACCCCTGGAAAAGGCCAAAGCGGACAGCCTGCACTGCAGTGGCAGTGGTGGAGTGTGGCAAAGTACGGCAACTGCTTGCCGTACTTTACCATACAGCCATAGTGTTCAATTCAGACAGAAACCGCACAGTAATCTTTTGGGGTTTTAGAAGATTTGAACCAGTGATGTATGTCAAGTGTAGCAGGAAAGTTGAGGAGTTATTTTCCCCAGAGACAGTTTTCCCCATCACCTGCATGAGCCAGAAAAAGACTTTTCTGATGCCACTCACAAGTGTTACAGAAATTATCAGTCTCCAAATACACATCTTTTTTCCCCCCCACTGAAAGCTACATGTTTTTTCAGGTTGAGTGTTCCTCTGATATCACAGGAAATTGTTGAAATGCGCTGCAGAAAAAAGAATCAGGAAAAAAAAGGATGGAGGTGCACCGGCTGCAGGTTATCTCCAGCTGTCTTTCACCAAAAACATTGCAGAGTCTCTTTCATGAACATCACGGCTGCTGCATTCGCAGTGGGCAAAAAGGGAGTAAGGTGTGCTGAATAACGCAGCCCTTGCTCAGGGTCTTTACCAGCTGAAAATGCAGCAGTCACATGCAAAGCTACTGCAAAGCTAGGGTCTTTCTCAGCTTGTGCGTGTGGGCAGGTTTGGCCTACGATATTGCATGTTTAGCTTTCATGGAGATGATACCTAATAGCAGAGGGTGTTTTTTTCCTTCTGCCTTATTCCAGCAAATGTTTGTTTCTGAAGCACTTCTATCCTCGGCATTTTTATTATTGAAGAGCCTCATCAGTGCGGAGGTCTGGGAGGATACAGCCGTAAGGCAGTACCATCTTGGGGCGCTATGTGACAAATAGCCTATTTTGCCATCCGGCAAAACACTTAACCATACATCTACATGTCCAGCTGCTGCTCAGGGTGGGGCTTTGAGTCACGTTCATGCCCAGCAGCCAGGAGGTAGGGTCAGGCGTTAGTTCCTGCAGCTCACCGCCTGCTCTCTGGCTGCGGTCCCGCAGCTCCTAGGAGGAATGGATGCGAGTTTAGTCACCATTCTGGCTATTCTAGCAGTCACGGTTACTCAGACGTCTGAGAGTAAGTAAATCTGTACTGTATCTGTTTCTATACTTCAATCTCCTAAAAGAAAACAAGACCTGAAAGGTATCTACCTGGAATTGCGTTTGCTTGAGCCTTTGCATGGGACCACAGATGGTAGCATAAAAGTCTGTACTGTAGCATGGTGAGAGCAAGAAAGTGAAACCCGTCTGTCTTAAACTGCACAGAACAATTGGCATTTGTTTCAGTGTAGTCAGATCTTCATTTGAGCATTTCCTTGATGTTCCCGCAACAAATGCGGGGACTTTATGATTCTGTAAAATGGCTTAAGCAAGGAAAAGCTGAGTGGGTTATCTGTCATAGCAAACACCAAGAACATCATAGCCAATAGACTTTAACTGCTGAAAGCACAAGACCTTTAAAGCTGTGATTTCCTGAGGGAACACCTAATAAAATTTCACTATTTGTTTAAAGCAATCTCTCTAGTTCAGGCACAATTTCCTCCTTTCCAAGCTTCTTGAGAGGGAATACGTTTAGAAAATCACTTGGTCTTTTTCCTATGAAGTTAAGTGGCCCTGGATTGCAAAGATTTAAAAAAAAAATGTTTTATGACAAATTTCATGTAACTGATTTCTCTCTGCAGAAAAGTAGTTTTGCATGCAGTTTTGTTCTGCATTTGGTGCAACATGTCTCGGGGATTCGGGAGACCTAGTAACACTTGCTTTGGTCTTCTTGCATTTTCATCAAAATTAAAAAAGTTTCAAAACAGATTAGCCAGTGCTGTGCTTGAATTCTTAGTTTTTCTTTGTAATTTTCTACTGTAAAATAAGCTGTGTTCACAGAGAAGATAACTCAAATTCTGGGGGACTTCAGTCTTTGAGATGTTACTTTGCCAAGCTCCACCGGCTTCATTAGGAGTAGGAATTGTGGAGTTCCTGGAGGATTTAGTCAACGCATGGACAAAATCTACCTTAAAATTTTATCCTGTTAAAATGGCCACTGCACCTGCTGGTGTGGGAAGGCTCTGGAAGTGCTCTTCTATTAGATTTATGATCTGGCCAGTCAGCAAGGTCTTGCACAATAGGACTGGCACACACATGCACAGGTCAAAGTAAAGGTTGTCTTAGAACGCGTTCTTTTATACTGAACCACCCGGCACAAAGGAAATACCTTTACCACCTAACTTTCCTCATGCAAATTTGCTCCACATTTAACAACAATATTCAAATGGCAGAACCCACAAAAAAAAAAAAATGGGCAGAACTGAATGTGGCTGTCTGGGCAAAGGCACACCCTACCCTGATCTGAAATAGATTTAGGGTTGACCCTAACTAGGGTTAGGGTTCTTAAGCTGACCATTATGCATCCATTTATTTCAGGGTCGTGGTACAGATATGCAAGTAAGATCTGGGCTGCTACATGCAAAATTGCAAGTTTCCTTTGCTTGTGGATGTGAACTGGTAGCTGTTGACAGAGGCCGGGAAAGCCATCTGGTGGCCAAAATTACAGCTAGCTGCAGGTGGGAACACGGCCCTGCCAGGCAGTGCCAGAAAATTAGATTAAGATTATTTTGTAGAGTGTGACAGGGATTTTTTTTCCCTGAATATAATTCAAAAGAAGTATTTGCAATTTTACTTTAAAAAAACCATGGTAGTCTTCCATCATCTCATCTCAGTGCCAAGGATTTACAGAGTGCCCGGGGGGAAGTGGGCAGCACTGCATGACAGAGCACGTATCAGGTTGGACAAGGGAACTTATTTCAGAGGTGGTTGGTTTGAATTTCAATTTGAGAAGGCAGAAGTTCTCTTTCAGAAACTCCTACAAGTATTTTATCTTGAAGATACGAAGAGAGAAATTTGGTAATTCCTGTAGAGTAAAAGCATCCAAAAGAAGTGTTGAATGATACAGGGTAGGAACAACAGCTAAATAAGACTTTCTGAGGCTTCCTAATGGAGTTTCCTGGGGTTATCCTAGTCAAGTTATTCCCGTAATGATGGTCTGGTCAGGGCAAGGGTGATCTATGCAGTGTGTGAGATGAGTTCCCTCTTATCAAATGGCATTGCTTTATAGAAAAAAAACAGATGTATGTTCACATGACAGCTTCTTTTTGCATCTTAATGTGCAAGATGTTATGTGGTTTATTTTTGCAAAGAATAGCAGAAATTTCACCTTCTGATAAGGCATTGGATACTAGTGTTTGTTTAACCATGTCAATATTACACACTGTTTTTGCCAGTTTTCAGTCTGCGTTGTATGTTGTATGGGGACAGCCAGACAGCTTGCAAACTGATAGTGATCAGATGGACAAAGACCCATTTGAACATCATGACCTATGTGATATACCCACCTGCCCATCTCCAGGCAGCCTTCCAGCCTTGAAAATCATGGAATAGTGTGGGTTGGAAGGGAACCTTAAAAGTCATCTAGTCCAACCCCCAAATGTCCATATCAACAGCAGTCCTCATAGTCTTCCCAGGAAACAAACTACCATGGGAAGTTTAAATTGAGTTCTTATGCTATATTCCTTGAACAACGAGCACTATTTCAAAATAATTCAGAGTTTCAGGGATTATCTTTTTAAGAAAAAAATCAAGTGGTTTTTTTTTTCAAATGCGCTAAACAAGTTATTCTCGCTAGAAAGGCAAAGCTTTCTTTTCTCTCCAATTCTTTTGAAATTGATAAAGCTATACATAGCATGTTAAGTAAATCCAGTATAATGAAAATATCAGCACTATTTTATGCCACAAGTCACATGCATCTGAAAAGGAGGTCCTTTTTAGGCATACTTGAGAGAGAAGGTGGGGTGAGTGAAGGTATTTTTCCAGTTAATATCTCGCTTGCTCTCTGCAAGGGTGCTTAACTTGCTCCAGTGGACTTTTCTGCCGGACTGAAGTATTTAGATGCCACCTAAAGATATGAAATAAAACTTTTAAAAAGCAATAGGTCTTCCCTGAATAAGACTTCTCAGGGAAGAAATGCCAAAACAGACAATAGCACCTGCTGAAATAATAACACAGCAATCCCCGAGTGGACTTGTCTCAAGATCTATTGCTAAGCTTGTCGGTCCTCTCAGTGGCTCCTTTAGTTTTCTGGTTAAAGAGCCTCAGTGTCAGACAACAGGTCTAAATAATTTTTGGGTAAGCAGCTGTGGATTTCTGACTGTGCCATTGAGCCATATAGACAAATTAAATGGGCAGCACTGAAAAATCTGTTTGACTGACAAATGGCACACAAAAGGCCATGCCAACATCCTTGTGGGAAACCACAGTTCTTTCCTTTTAACCACTGTTTAGACCAATGATTACTAATAAGACTGATCTCATTGCTGAAACCACAAAAAAAATTATGGCGTTGGGTTGGGCTGAAATCATTAGCTTTGTTTATATACCTCCTGGTTCCTTCCCAGTTGCGGGATTAGCGTGCTGTTACGGTAATAATGGACTGAGCAATGGAGCTGCAGGATGGCTCAGTGCTCCATCCCCTCCCCTGGGGCTCTGGGGAAATACAGGAATTCCTTGGCTCACTGCCCTGATTGTTCTTCACACAGAAAAAAAAAAAAAAAAAAATCACTCTTAAAACAGACTCCCATGTAAAAAGGTATCAGTTATCACAAGTGCCTCTATCAACACAGGGTTGCTGATGACACTGTCATGTTGTCTGGTGAAAAAGACCCTGATGCTGTGTATTCATCTGTGACTCAAAGACAATAAATTTCTATTTTCCATATTGTAGGTGTACTTTCAAGCACAGAACAACAACAACAACAACAAAATTAAAAGTGGCATCTTCTTTTTCGTCACAAAAACAGTGCAGATCAGAATTCCTCAAAGCAAACACCCATACAAACCTATGAAAGCAAGACAGCCTCCCCAGGTACACACATGAAAAGTTACTAGCAGGTTCTCAATCTCTGTGAGAAATGCTTCTGGCTCTTTAGGAAGAACGTAAGCACGACCTCATTCACATTTTATCCAAAATTTCAGTCTGCGTTCTGTTGGTGTATTCACCAGTTTCATCACATGCAGTCTATTCCGGGTTCTCAGGTTGGGCGGCACAGCTTTTTGTATAGCTGCATGAATTAGACGTCAGTGGCTTATTGCTCCAATTCAAAGATTGGCTGAGCATCAGGTAGTCGAATTCACTCTAAAACTGCTACTCTAGTGCTCTAAGTGGTATCTAAATGTGCAATTATAAACAAGTCTAAAAAATGCAGTTCCTGTTGGCTAAGTTCCTTGCAAACACAAGTAGCCAGTGAGATACTCATAAGCCCACCTGGATGCATCAAGAATTTTGCTTGATTTTCCTTATATGAGTTTGTGTATATTTTTTCCTTATAAAGTATAGAAGTACATCAATATTAATTTCTTAATTTTCTGTTATAAGGCGTACAAATGACTCACGTAGTGCTTGCTATATAGTGCCCTGTATTGTACTATAAAGCACAATACGGATGATTGAGATCTGGGGATCAAAGCAAGTGCTGTTTCTGAGTACATAAAGTGCGATGATAGTAGCCAGGCACTGGAGAGACCAGGAGAGGAAGAGTTCGGCAGGCAGGTGGATCATCCTAAGACCTTCTGTAATATCCAGCCGTTCCATGGGAGGCCGGCAGTGCTGGCCTTGCCAAGCATTTTAGTTTACCAGACTCCAAAGTAGCACAGGACTAGGCATCGCCAAAAAGCACAGCTGGCAACCTCTGATAGAGTTTAAGGTATAATTACCATTCTTTGAGGTTTTATCCTGTATAATCCTTCTGCCAGGAGCTGACTGGCAACATACTTTAGTGTCATACTCTAGTGCCATACTTTCCTGCCATACCTTAGTGTCACCAACACTGCCTTGACCCCTCAGGAAAAAATAAACTTAGTAGTGCACAATGAGCTGAATTCCCATTTGCAAACATCAATTAATTGGCTTCACAAGCAGTATTCTGTCGAAGAGACAAAAGCAAAGGACAACAGGGAAATAACACAGGTAACATTCAACACTTAATTAGTCCTTCTGCATCATATGATTACTTAGAGTCCTCTTCTCTGGGCTGCTGAGGAGGTAGCTGCTAGGCCAGCTGCTGTCTTTCACCCCCCCTTCCGACTGTGAAACCCCGGGGCTCTGTCATCAGCCCCACTGGTATGGAAGCCACTGGCAAGCTGCAGTGGGTGGTGTGATGGGTCTTCGGTGGCTCCTGTGGTGGGGGTAGCTGCTCGAGCTCGCTGCTGTGGCTCTGCTGGCACCTGTTATCCCAGTGCTCAGCGAGAACTCTCGTAAGGAACAAGGAACACAATCTTCTTGCTTATGGGAAAATATTTAAACGGACTTCTCATCTCCCGCTTACAGGGACTTAAACTGATTCTCCTGCTTCTTTTTTTCTTGCCCTATGACTCTTGTGCTCCGAGGTGAAATGATTACTTAAGGAACAGCATGATTTACAGGCTAAGGAAAGAAATAATAATCAAAACAAACAGGAAGAAGACTGTGTCTCCACTTCTCCCAGGTTAGTTCACGGACTGGGACACAGGGATCCTTGCTCTGCTCACTTTGAAGCATGGGTTTGATCCTGAGACGCTCCCATCCTAGATAAATCCCTGAGCCACACAGCTTTTCTTGTCCTTGAGTTGATGGAGGGAATCCCTTTTAGAAGGTCTGTCTCTAGAACAGAAGAAAATCAAACACCAAAATGTTAGTATTTGTCATGAAAAAAAATCTTGAGTTAGTTGCTTTTTAAGAGTCAGTGACTTTTTATTTTCAAGGTGGTATTAGCCAGCAGGAGAAAATCTGCAGGAGATCATTCCCTAGTGGAGACACGTTCAGCCATGGGAGCTCTCGGGGAAAAAGAAAACACAAAACCCAGCAACAGCATTAAGAGTTTCAAAGACAAAAGATAATGGGCCTGATTCAACCTCACAAGGCAGAGCTTTTAAATTATACTCCTGACATCTCCTGTGTCATTAATGTTGGTGATCTTCTTCCACAAATAAAACACTTAAATCTTTTTTTAAATTATTTTTATTTTAATGTAACAAGCCTTTACATACATGTGCAGAAGGAGAGGTGGAGGAAACTGTTCTTTAAACACCGAAACCACCCATCTGTCTTGTGGGAGGAGCTGAGAGGATGGTATCTCATCCCACAAGCTGTATAGACAACTAGCCCTTGACAGCTCTCTGAAATGCCCTTGCTACTAACGCATGTAGCATGGGGAGCAAACAGGAGGAGTCAGAAGTCTGCCTGCAGGTACAGGACCTCACTGGGATCACAGAGACATGGTAGGATGGCTTGTGTGCTGCAATGGAGAAGTATGGTCTTTTAGGGACTCTTTACAAAGAATGGGCCAGGAAAACAAGGGGGTAGAGAGTAGCTGGAGTGCCTGGAGCTCTGCCTGGGGATGGATGATGAACCAACTGAGAGCTTATGGGTCGGGATTAGTGGGCAGACCAACATGGGTGACATTGTAGTGGGTGTCTGCTATAGACATACTGACCAGGAAGAAGTAGACGAGGCCTTCTTCAAACAGCTGGAGAAAGCCTTGCATTCATAGGTCCTGGTCCTCATGGCGGACATTAACCACTCTGACATCTGCTGGAAGGACAATACAGCAGTGCTCAAGCAATCTACAAGATTTCTCGTGTGCATTGATGACATATTTGGGCACAAGTAATCAAGGAACCAGCAAGGAGAAGCACTCAGCTGGCCCAAATACTTGTGAACAAGGAAGAACTGGTCAGGGGCATGGAAGTCAGCATTGGCTGCAACATCCATAAGATGGTGGAGTTCAGGATCCTAGGAGAAGGGAGCAGGACAAAAACCAAGATCACAGACCTGGATTTCAGCAGAGCAGATTTACAACCTCTTCAGAGATCTGCTTGGAAGAATCCCGTGGAATATGACCTTGGAGAGAAGAGGGGTCGAGGAGAGCTGGCTCATATTCAAGGATCACCTCCTCCAAGCTCTAGAAAGGCCTGTCCCGACAAATAGAACGCCAAGCAAAGTGGCAGGAGGCCTGCATGGATGAGCACAGAACTCCTAACTTAACTTGAACATAAAAACAAAGTGTGGAATGAAAGGGTGGAAGCAGGGGCAGGTGACGCAGGTGGAGTATGGGGTTGCTGTCTCATTATGCAGGAATGGGGTTAGGAAAGCCAAGGCTGAGCTAGAGTTGAATCTTGCAAGGGTTGTGATGGACCTACATAAGGCCACAGAGACAGATGGGGTGCACCACCTACCAGTGCTGAGGAGGCTGGCTCTTGTCATTGTGAGGCCACTGTCAATTATCTTTGAACAATTGTGGCAGCTGGGAGAGGTTCCTGAAGACTGGAAAAGAGCAAATATCACTCCTATCTTCAAGAAGGCCAAGAAGGAATTTCCAGGGAACTATAGGCTGGTCAACTTCACCTCAATCCCTGGGAAGGAGGTGGAGAAAAACCTCCTGGAAAGCATTTCCAAAGATCTGAAGGACAACACTGTGATCAGGAGCAGAAAGCATGGGTTTATGAAGGGGAAATCATGCTTGAACAACCTGATAGCCTTCTACAATGAGGTGACTAACTTGGTGGTCAAGAGGAGAGCAGTGGATGTTGTTTACCTTGAGTTCAGTAAAGCCTTTGACACTGTCTCTTGTAATATCATCATAGACAAGCTGACAAAGTGCAGGTTAGATGAGTGAATAGTGAGGTGGACTGTAAACTGCCCGAATGACCAGGTCCCGAGCGTTGTGATTAGTGGCACAAAGTCCAATTGGAAGCAAGTCACTAGTGGTGTACCCTAGGGGTCAACATGGGGGCCAATACTGTTCAACATCTTCATCAATGACCTGGACAATGGGACAGAATGTGCCCTCAGCAAGTTTGCAGATGATAAAAAACTCAGAGCAGTGGCTGATTGACCACAGTTTTGCTGCATACAGATAGACCACAACAGGCTGTAGAAATGGGCAGAGAGGAATCTCATGAAGTTCAACAAGGGGAAATGCAAAGTCTGGGGGGGAATAACCCCAGGCAGCGGTACATGCTGGGGGCCAGTAGGGAAGGGAGGAAGAAATTTGTTTGGTTCATCTGCTTGGTTCACAGGACCTACAGGGCCTGATAATGAGGGAAAGGGAACAAATACGTGACTTGCTTGGTCACAGAGAATGGCTGCTTGCCTCATAAAATGGTGTTAGTTACGCTAACCACATTACCAGGGGTTGTGAGCAGAGGGTACTGGTCACAGGGTCACGGGAGGTGATCCTTCCCTCTACTCAGCTCTAGTGAGGCCACATCTGGAGTGCTGTGTCCGTTTTTGCGCTCCCCAGTACAAGAGAGACATGGACTTATAAAGAAAGTCCAGTGAAGAGCCACAAAGATGATGAAGAGACTGGAACATCCTGCATATGAGAAAAGGCTGAGAGAGATGGAACTGTTTATCTTGGAGAAGAGATGGCTCAAGGGAGTTCTCATCAAGGTGTTGCAACCATCATGCCCATACCTGATGGGAATGAAAGAAGAAGAGGGAGTCAGGATGTTTGCAGTAGTGCCCACTGACAGGACAAAAAGCAATGAGCACAAATTAAAATACATAAAATTCAATCTGAACACAAGAAAATATGGTGGGGTTTGCTGTGAGGGTGGTGAAACACTGGAGCAGGTTGCCCAGAGAGGTTGTGGAGTCTCCATCCTTGGAGATATTCAGGTGTCTGGACATGGTCCTGGGCAAGTGGCTCCCAGTGGCCCTGCTTGAGCAGGGAGGTTGGTCAAGAAGACGACCGCCGGGGGTCCCTTCCAACCTCAACCATTCTGTGAAGCCAACCTATGAATTGTCCCCTTCATATCTATGTTGTTTCTAACATTGTTATTACTCTTTTTAGCTTTGTTTCCTGGGGCCTTTAGCTGTTGCACAAAAATTTCAGATGAAATTCCCAAAGGAATTCTCCGAAGAGTGGAGAGGTTTGAAATCCAGAAAGCGGATGGCCTGTGTCACCTAGAAGCTGTTATGTAAGAGATGTTTTGGGTCCTTCTCTGTGAAAGGGGTACTGCCAAGTTAAAACCTATTAGGTGCTATTCAAACAAGTAGACTCTTAGAATGCTAACACCAATTCAATGAAAAACAAAATTGTGTGTGATTTAAGAACTGACCTTCTTTGTGCTATTTAAACTTCTGACTGCTAAAATTGAATTTTCTTTTCAGTAATAATATTGACCATTATTCAGCCTACACTAACTTTGACACTTGCTTTATTTTCAGAACTGAAGAATGACTCATGCACCTTAAGACTTCTCTTTCTTTTTCCAGTTATTGATCCTCTATGAACTTTGCCTAAACTTATTAAATCAGCTTTACTTCGGTACATAAGCTATTTCTATTTTTTTTTTTTTCTGTTACAATATCACACTGCTTGGGTTAAATTGATAAATTTCAAAGAAATATTGGACATTTTTTATTTCTAGACATTTGCATGATGGTCATGATAATAACAACAACAATAATAATAAAGTCATCTACTTATTTATTAGCCATAGAAATGCACTGTTTTTCACTGTGGGTCTTTCCAGAACCTCTGAAGTAGTAAAGCTTTTTTCACATTTTGGAAGACAAGTGTAATGATGCAAAGCTTAGATCCTAACTTTTACATATTTGAAACCAGACAAAAGTGAACAGACATATTATAAAATAAAATTTAAGATCAAACAATTCTATCTTTGTGGTCTTCATAGGTGAGTGATAAGTATGATCATTTAAGAAAATTGGGGGGGTAATATTTTTCTTTGAAACTGACAACCAATTTTTGCTCTGGCAGTCTCTACATAGAAGGCAGAAAGTTCTGTGTGAGCCCGCAGATTAGAAGAGTTAAAAAGTGGATGAAGAAGAATAAGCACAAGACATCCAGAAAAAAAACTCATGGTGGAAGGCAGAGAAGAACCAAAATTATTAAAAAGAAAGAAAAGAAACAGTAACTTGATGAAGTAAGCCCCATGATGAAGATACCTGTGACATACGGCACTGCAAACAAAGATACCAGACTTTATCAACAATGGATCATTGTAGCGACAAAGTGACTTTTCAAATATCTATGTGCTAGAGAAAGCAGTGGCAGAAAAAATCACTTGTACATGGGAACAATGCTGGTCAGATTACCAGCCACGTAGGTGTTGCTGATGATGTCTTGTAGCAAGTGCTTGCTGTACCTCCTAGATCTATTGGTAGACTTAAATCCTCCTCTCTCCCACCCTGCTTTCATGGCAACCTCTCCTGTGACTTCTATTTTAACTGCCAGTATGCAGTTTCTTCTCATCACTCTGTTATTCCCAGTCCCTTTCTTGGTCCCTGTTCTTCCTTGTCTGCAGACATCTTTGTGCTGTTGCCTGTTTTGTTTCTATTCTTCCAGTCATTAATATTTTCTTTTTCTTCTTACATAATTTTACAGATATCTTTCCAGATACTAGTTCAGTTGAAGTTGGCCAAAACCACATATCTTTTACCTATTCCAAACAATCTCTGCTCCCAGCTGTTATTATCATGAAAGGGTGTCGTTGTAGAGACGGACACGACACTCAATATCCAGTTACAGCAATCGTCCTCCTTTATTTTACAAGCACTGCTCTTTTATATCCTCTTACCTGGTTGCTTATCTGTGCATATATTCTAACATTCTACTGTTGCCCAATCCACTCTCACATCACACACCATTCAGCCAATACAATTGTTGATCACGCGCTGTTCATGCTCTGGGAAAAGCCAGGATGTTTGCCACCCCTTATCTTGTTTGCTCGGATCTTCTCAGGATTCTTCTGTCTCCTCAAGGGTACATGGGTATCTGTTCAGGGTCAGTGTTAAACTTATATTTTGATCCCTCGGACCAGCTGAGGTCTCCCACAAAAGACAATTTCAGTGATAATAACTGAGCCTGTTCATTGGGCTCAAAGTGTGGCATCCAAAGCTAAGCAATAAGGATAATCTCTGTTGCTTTTGTACATTCGGTTCCCTGTTCAAATCCTTCAGCTGGGTTCTTACTACCCTCTTTGCTGAATTTTTCGTAATTACCTTTGAGGATCGCACGTGTCTGTCAAGGCCTTCGTTTGAAGACCAACGAAGATGGCAGTCTGGCTACCCACTCCATAGCCTCCCTCCCACCGCACGGCACTGTCTTCTCCTGTGTGGCACAGTCTCCAATTCCCTCCCTCCTTCCCAGGAAACTTCAGACTAATTTAATATTTCCACAAAGTTATCACAGTCAATGGCACTTTTCCTCAGAGATGCAAATGTGGAACACAGCAAATGAGGAAAAAGAGAGGTCTTAAAAAGAATAAATGCCATAGAACTCATACTTAAATTATTTACCTAGTGAGCCAAAAATATTTAACATAGCAGCATAATTCTGTTCCTCCTCTTCCCCTACTAATTACTGTTTGTTTTCATTCACTGCGTTTGACTTAAATTAGCTCCTCAGAGTTATCTCCTGTGTTTGTTTTGTAATTGTTATGTCTAACTACATGCTGCAAACATGGGAGAAAGCACCTCAGACAACAGTAGATAGAAGCAGCTGCTGACAGGTTCCCTAAATAAAATAAAGGTGAACATCCCTAGCAAGGTCACTAGAGAATAGGTAGCATACTCCCACAGATGGATATCTGATGAAAGAAACTGACTCCTTCCAAAACAGATGAGAGAAAAAAAGAAACATAATTATCTTCTCCGATCAGCCAACAGCCTCCTAACAGGGATGAGGCAACTCATCTGACTCTTCTTCCAGTTTCTAGGGAATATTGTGTACACCGCGTACGTTGGCATCGCTCCATCCTCTGCCACTTAAAGCGACAACGCAGGGAGCCTTCTGCCAGGGGCAGGAGCTGGGGCTGTTCTCTCTGACTCTGAACATGCACGGAAGCTCTTCCTCCCGAACGCTGTGTTTGGCATGCTGGGGAGGCAGAGGATGTGACCCTGGCTCATGCAAGCTGAAACGGCACACGTTTTCCACCATGTCATTCGCGCTCTGGTGCCGCACTGCCTGGACACCACATGGATATAGTGAATGCGTATTAGACAGAATCCAGTTCTCCTGGGCCCAGGTTACCAGAGCACCAGGAACACTAAATTGCTGAAATATATTACACTATGGTATCAGTACCTCACTGTTTCTGGCAGTTCTCTTTATTTTCTTCCTCATGTTCTGCTCCGGATTCCAGATTTTACCTTCATGCTTCCCTCTTGACCCACAGATTTCTAGGTGGGTTTTTGATGGCATCTCAGCTCCTCATAGCTTTTCCATCAATGCAATCAGTGGCCTTTTGAGTGTATGGAGCGTACTCTAAGTATTGACTAAAGTGTGGAGTGTACCCCAATTTCCTGCTGGAGATATTCAGCATTTCACGGGATTAGAGTACGCAACTAACTTTCCAGGCTGAGGCAGGCACGTCTGAGGCCCCTGTGAACCACCTGAACCATTAAATATCGCCACTTGGTAAAGGCAAGTCAGGAAAGTTTGGGAGACTGGAGCAAGAAGGGAGCAAAGTCAAGCTGACGGTTGAGATAAGAAAAAGTGAAGCTGGGGCTCCAGATGAGACCACAGCAGCCATCAAGAGTGGGAAGTCCTGGACGCTCAGTCTGTTGGAAAGGAAAGGAAGGGAAGGGAAGTCAAGTCAAGTCAAGTCAAGTCAAGTCAAGTCAAGTCAAGTCAAGTCAAGTCAAGTCCCTGTTGGTTTAGGCATGGGCTGCTGGGAAGCTCCACACAGTCCTGGCCTGCAGACCTGTCCTCTGCCAGCTGTAAGAACCCAGTGCAGCTGCGGTTTTCTCTCCGGTTTGGAAACCAGTATCTGCTCCCTAGTCACGACCCGTTTTTGTACTGTCAGCTTTCTTGGCCCCCAAATCTTAGATTATTACCTGTTCAACAAATACTGCTTTGTATTTGAAATCATAACACTGCTGCAATTCCTCCTCTTACACATACTCTATAAAAGCAGCAAGGTATAATTTAAATGCATTTTTATAGCTTTTAATAACTGGAATTGTTACAATGTTATCAATATTTTAAGACCCAGCCAGATCTGCAACCCAAATGCTATTGAAATATTTGCACTTACTGGACCTACTCTAAAAGACAGGCTTTGATAGTTTTGTTTACAACCCCCAGTTCTTCAGAGTGTATGGAATGTTGTATCACGTTATCTTGGATGCAGTAGATCCAATTAAGAGATTGTGAGATGACAGAAGCCCTCTCCCAGCTGCCAAATGTGTTTCAAGTTTGTGTTCCTGTGCATTCTTTTGGGAATTAAACACTAGTCATTCAATCTAAAAAACTTTCTTCCATGATAGTGGTATATGAAGTATCAAAACAGCGCCTGAAAAATCTACTGTCTGGTACAGTTCCATTTACCCCTGAACCCTGACACACAAATACGCAAAAGAAAAACCTTCCAGTTTCCAAACCTTCACTTAGGTGACCTCATGCTCTCTGTACCTGAGCATTATTTTTGACCTTTGCTATTTTGTACTTGGCAACAAAATTAAATCAATACTTTTTCAGTAAAGTCATCTCAACATCTTGTTTTGTGGAAGAGATTATTACGGCACACGACTTTGTTTTCCCTGAAAATGCTGGCTAAAGCTCTTTTCAATGGGTTTAGGCACCTAAAGATGTAGCTGGCTGCGTCTGAAAACACCAGTGAGTATTTTAGTGACTTAGAAGTATAGCTCCCATTGAATTAAATCCAAATTAGGTCTGGAATTAATATTATTGAAATTTCCAATAAATTCACTTTTAAATGGTTTTAAGAAACAGCTTTAATTGTCTGGCTGTTTCATTTATTTTAAGCGTCATTAACTTAACCTAATATGACAGTCTTTATTTCTCTAGGAGGCTTTAGGAAAAAAGAGTCATAGATAGAATGGCTTAAGAATTACTAAACAGAAGCAAAGAACCTATTGGGTCTATTGAAACAAAACCAGCACCTGAAATTCGATACACTGGCATAAAACTAGAAGTAAAGGTGAGTCATCAGACAGGAAACACGTTTCTTTCAAAATAGTACTGAATTATGAGATCTCACCCACTTTTACACAGCTGAAAAATGGTGAGAGAGACTCAAATTCAAACTCCCCTTTTACTAAAACAGACTGGATTTTAACAGAGAAAGAAGTGTGTTTGCCCTCTCACTAGCAACGTATGAGCATGTTTCTGCTCCAAGGTTATTCTGAGTCACGCTGAGTTTCTTTGATACTACCATCTTTATTAAATGGACCTCTCCTTTCTCAGGTTTCCAGTTCTAAGGTTACCGGGGCACAGCATTCATTTTGGTACATTAGTCCAAATTACTGAGTACAGTCTCAATTGAAAAATCTCACTGGGCAGATTGGCTAAGCTTGAGAAAGGGAAAATGACCTGCATTCTTACAAACTGGGCTCAAAATAGTGGCAATCACATGTCTGGAGCACAGTTTAGTTAGAGGACTATAATTAATTACCTAAGAGGTCTGCAACAAGAGTCACCAACAACTATAATGTCATTACTGCAATTTTAACGAGAAAGTCATATAAAGCAATCGTAGTCTATCGCAACAGCAGCACAAGCAGGTCCTTTCATGGGAAAAAATAATAGTACTTTTTGTGTAAGTATTCACTTGCAATACACACAGTGACAGGAAAAGCAGAATAAAAAGAATAATGCTATTGACAACAATTATAAAATAAATTGTACTGATTAATAAGAAAAAGTAGTAGATCTTAGGCCATAAAGAACTAGTCATCAAACTAGTCTGCAAGAGGAGGGCATCTGGATTTGATGTAAATTTAAATTAGCATCTGGATTCAGAAACATCCTGAGGAGACAAATACACTGCTTTTAGCAGCATAGATTAGATACCTGGTCTCTGAATTTAACTTCAGGTAATTATTAAAAAACTGGAACTGCATTATGTCCTTGACCTCAGTTTTAAAATTCTGAAAATCCAGCAACTATCCA